TTGATTTTGTCCAAGTCTTCTTCTACAGGTATCCCTGTTATCACCCCTCTTGTAACTCTACTCTCACCCAGTCTTTTTCTGACTAATTCTTTTCTTACACACACTTTCAACTTGCCAGGCTTTGTTTTTCTGTTCCTCTGTTTTGCATGTTATCAACAGGCTTCCGTCTCTCAAAATCTTTGCCATTTCCACATCTCCCAGCTTCTTTTTCAACTCTCTGGATACTGCTATCGGACTTAAACTCACATGCTGATCTTCTTTTCTAAATTTGAAGATGATTTTACATTCTTCTCTCACAGCTCTTTTCCACACAAACCTACTGCCTTCATCAGAACTGTTCTCCTCAGAACTATGTTTACTTCCTTGACTCAACATCCACCCTACATCGCCTCTCCTATTTGCCCCTGTTCCTCCTCTGCTGTTAGCCACGGTTGACAAGTTGCCAGAATCCATTTCCCCATCTTCTCTACTTCCTGACTAGCCATTCTGACCCAGTCACAAACCAGTTTATGCCAACCGCTTACAATCAAACAAGCTGTTGTAGTAGTCCATCTGCCGTCTCAACAACTGCTCCTCCAGCCAAAATTCTTCCGGTCTCCTTATTTTCAAGGACTTCAAAGGATCCAGTCCAGGTAGACCACGTTAGAAGATGCAGCCCATGAATTCAAACAGAGCCTATATGTCTACGGACCAATCAGAGCTTGCAGGAGGTAGTGGTTAAATGGGTCCTGAAGGACACTTTTGCCAAAAAAAAACAGTTCCGCATCCAGATCAACAGTAAACTACGATACCGTCTGTATTCTGCGTGGCAAGGCATGTGCCGAACCTTGACCCCTGTACTGTGACGGTTCGGTACGAATACATATACCGTGCCGGCCCTAATCTGGACATATCAATGGTACAGAAATATTTAAAAGCATCATCTATCTGTAGTAGTGGAAAAACCCAGGGATACCATGGTAACCATTTGGTTGACAAGGAGATGTTCATATTAGATATTATCCAACACATTGAGCTGCTTTAATTTACACGTCCTCTCTGCTGTGATTAGAGATCAGGAAATATTCAGAGTAGGAAGATTTTCTGAGGAAATTATTCCTAAAATTAAAAGATTAAATAGGAAATGATTAAACAAAAACGACATAGGAAACTGGATAAAATATCTTGATAACTAACGATGATTGTTATTCTATTTAAATCAGGCTGTTGCTGATTAACAGTTTTTTATTCTCAGTCTTCATCCAGTTGTCCTCTCCTTGGTCTCTGTCCTCTGAAGCTGCTGAGGAAGTCCAGCAGTTCTGCTGACTTCTTTAACCTTCTGCTCTGTTGTTTTTCTCTGTCCTGCAGCTCAGAAGAACATCACAGCGTCACCTGGACAGAACGTCTCTCTGCCATGCAGAGTCCCCAACAACAAACCTGCTTTCATTGTAAAGTGGACCCGACCTGATCTAGAACCAGAATATGTTCTCCTGTACAGAGACGAGCAGCTGGATCCAGAGAAGCAGCATCCATCTTATCAGAACCGGGTGGACCTGCAGGACAGACAGATGAAGGACGGAGACGTGTCTCTGGTTCTGAAGAACCTGACGACTAACGACAGAGGAACATATGAGTGTCGGGTGTTTCAGAGAGAAGCAAACGGCAGGAAGAGACGTACTCTGACCTCTGACCCCATCAGCAGCATCTTCCTGGATGTAGCTCCTCCTGCAGGTGAGCTGCCAGTGGCTCCGTCTTTCCTGCAGCTCCTGACTTGTTGAGACTGAACTGTAGTCAGAGTGGAGGGAAGAAGGCTGATTATAACTGTAACAGATAA